GCCAGCATAATAGAGGACAAGATTAAGTTTAAGGGAAAAGTTAAGGGGAAAGAAATTTCTCTAGATCCTGGTGATTGAGGGAGATGGTGTCAGTACAGGGGAATATAGGGATACTTGGGCTCTCCGGGCCTAGTAATTGAGGGAGGGGTACATCTGACCTGATCGAGGTGAATCCTCCAAATTGACTCCCTAGAACTTACAAGAATTCTTTGCATTTGTAAAAAAGTAAGTTTTATATACATAGCATCTGCACTACTTATAATATGTACTGAAATCTGTATTGTAGAAACGACAGTAGACTCATGTCAGAAACGTCAGTGACAATAAAAAGGACCCTTTAAATCAAGAGAAAGCAACCAAAGAGAATTTAAAATCTTGATCTTGCAGTTATAGTTATGATGGTGGCAGTACTCTGCCGGAGCTAGATTAATGGTTTATTAGAATTTTATTGATTAATATTAAGACTATGGACCCTTGGAGTCCATATATTAGGACAATATAACAGTAGCATAATGAAAGAGAGAAATCTGGAACATATTTCATTCTTTCAAACATCTCAAATCACTTGTCTTTGTCATCAGTTAAACATTTTCTCTTCAGACCTTCATAGCTTGCATTTGCACACCTTAAGTCACTTACTTGTACTCTGAAACATTTTTATCCCCAGGCTTTTATAACTTGCATCTACATAGCTTAATAACGTGCATTTGCATGCCTCAAAACACCTTCCTAGGCCCTAAAACGTTCTTAGACCCTTATGTCTTGAGCTTTGCATTTTGGCATGTGCCCCTGAAAGCAACTGTTCCTTTACCATCATTATGACATCATCTTAACACTCGGGAGAAATCTGTTTTATGAGTTCATTTCTCATTTGAGCCTGGTAATGAGGTAAACTGTGTCCAGACATAGTATTGGCTCCAGAAGACTGCGGCCTGTGAACTGAATTTTACAGAGACCTGAGAATGCTGATGGCAAAGCTACCAATTGTCAAACTACATGAGAGATCTTTTAGAAGGGCAAATTTTACCTGAGTTATTGATTGAAGAATGACAGAGACTTACCTAGATCGCCAGCCCAGGGTCCTCCATGGTCATTGAGGGCAGGTCTTAGGGCAACATCCACCTTTTGACTGGCAGCACAGGGCCTGAGGGGCTTCAGAAGACCCTGTGGATTAGGAGTTTGGAGGAAGTCCAGCCTACTGTTGGCCTAGGCAACTTGAGGTAGCCAAGTCCAGTGTCCCGTAATCGACGGTCTGGAGGGGTCTTTGCATCAGTTTAGGTGAGAGGCAGGCTTTTCCACCGGCTAGTGCTTTCACTTGATAAAGTGAGTTTCAGGTGGAGGTTCTTTTGTGCCCATCTGTCTTCTTTGGAGAAAGTAGGAGCTGCTGCTAGAAGCCACCCTATCTGTTAAGAAAAGCCTTTCTAATTAAACATTTAAATGCCATATTCCCCAGATCTCTAAGCATTTGATGGCTGTCTATTGGGTATATGTGAATTATGACTCCAGTATAGGATCTGCCTGGAGAGCTGGATCCAAGCTGAGAGGTTGTGAAGGAATGGTTTACCCAGAGTACTGACTATAACTGGTTTTAACTTAATAGGTTAGATTTATGTTTGAGGATGTCAGCTTTTGTTAATCTGAAATAGATCTTTATAATCTTACATTTTATCATTATATAGACTATATTTTAAAGCAGAGTTAAATCACATATACTGTATGTTGTAACAGATCTAATCATATTTTTATCATCACTTGTTTTTTCCTTAGTCTAGAAGGAGATACAATGAGCCAAAATCATTAGGATTGCTTAAAAGAGCTCATTGTGATTGTTTTGTTTTTAACAATAATTACGTGAAAATATACACACAGTTGAATTTAAGTTGAATACACACAGAGTTAAAGCTAGCTTATATTCACACATAAAGTTAAGTGAAAAGTGAGCAAGAAGAAGCTGGCTTTTTCATCTCCGATTCGCACGTTGTAGAAAGAAAACAGGGTATTTAAAAGAAACAGAGAGTAGACAGAGAAAAAGAGTGAAGAATCAAAGCCGCCAGTGAATGAGAAAGCAGATGCATTACAGGTTCTGGAGAGAACAGATCCACTGTAGGTTGGGTCCCTGTGTGAAATAAATGTCTCAGCAGGCCCTGTCATCATGCAAACAGGCCACAAGCGCTAGAGTCAGTGTCATGGTAAGTTTTTAAAAGCGTAGCTCACGGCATGAAGGTAACTGGCAACAAGTCATGTAACCGTTTGGCCATTGGCCGACCTCATGAGTCTGTGGCTCTTCCTTGCCACAGTGGCCAACCAGGGCTGAGTGGTGCAGAGGCAGCTGGCCACATGGCCACCCTTAGCAAAGATGGCGGTTAAGATATCTGACCTGCCCTAAGCCAAGATGGCACATGCCCACATGTTGTTATTCCTCTCATTTAACCATCCATTGGCAGAAGTTAGAAAGGTCCCATAAGAGTTCGGGATATGGTTTTGTTGCCCTGTTTCCCACAGGTGAGGCAGCAAAATAATCAACCGGCTCAAGTCAGTTTCTCACACATCAGCAGAAAGAGTGACAGCCAGGGCAATGAGTCTGAAGGACGCGGAGTCTGAAAAGGCATGAAGCTGAAAGGGCAAGAAATGTCCAAGAAGAGAAGATATTGCTCAGTGAGGGTGATGCTAGGGTACTAGGTCCAAAAGCCTTGCTTGTGGAAAATGCCGGAGGTGATTGCCAGGGGAGGTTACCAATCGTAAATGGTGTTGTGGGGAGTTGTCCCAGGGGAAAGTAAGTTGTCAGTCAGGAGTCAGGGACCCCATATGTCTTGGGCCACCCGCCCATGAGTGGGAGGGAACACCGAGAGAACCTGGTGGTCATGGCACCAAAAGTTACAATTATCGCGCGAGTTGGAACCCTAGTGTGTCCTATGGCAGGACCGAGGGAGAGATACCTTTGTGGTGGGTGGGTCCAAACCACACGGCAGATGACCCCACAGGTAGAACTTGAGTTTATTGAGAGGAGGGTAGAGGAGAAAGAAGGGAGACAGAGAAAAAGACAGAAAGAGAAGGTGGGGGAAGGGAGAGAAAGAAAGATGAACAGCTGCCTCATTAGAACAAATGGCAGAAAGAGAGGGAGTAGGCAGGGCTTGTCTCTTAAAGGGACCTTTTGCACCTGCGTACAGACTAGGACCCTGGGCTGGCCAGGGTACTGCCTAGGTGCATCCTGTCAGAAGACAGGGCATGATGCCTGAATCCTAAAGAGTTCATATGTCAACTGTGTTGCTGTGCTTAGAAGACCTTATGTTCTTGGTGTCCTCCATCCCCTCTGGCTCTCACATGCTTTCTGCCTCCTCGTCCACAGAGTTCCTGAAGCCAGGAGAGAAGGGATTTGAGGAAGACCTCCCTTTCAGATTCAAATGTTCCAAAACCTCTCACTCTGCCCATTGCCTACTTGTGGTTCTGTTTTTGTTCCCATCTGCTGAAGGAGGAAGCTTCTCTGATGAAGGTTGAGCAAGGCACTGGGGTCCCCGGGCTGAGAGTGGAAGGAGATGTAAGCTCCCATCTCTAACTCAGAAAGCTGTCTCCAATTGATCACTGCTCGCAAAGAAAAAATTAGTTTTCTCCAACGGAGTCTCACTGGGGATACAAATCACACTTAAAGGGAGGCAGGCCCAACAGTTATCTATAAAACAGTGATGGCGTGAGATCTGACCCACAAGGAGCGGCGGTCCCCCGAGGGGCAACAGTGGGCCACCTGAGGCCTAAGTGGGTCCCCTTGGCTGGTGAGAGACTGTGGCGGGTAAGAGACAGACAGATAGATATGCCAAGCAGAGAGAGCTGGGGTATAGAGTTTATTTAGTGGGTTATGGAGGGAGAAGGGGGAATGGGGAGAAGGTGGGGAGAAGAGAGAGAAGCAAAAGCTGTCTCTCCAGAAGAAGGGCACACACACACACACGGGGCAGGGTACCCAGGTGACAGACCAGGCCAGAAGATTATAACACCTATGCCCAGTGGTAGATGTGGGGCCAGCCATGATAAGCTAAGTATGGGCAGGTCACCCAAAGGAAGTTCTTTACTTCCAACCATTATCACCTGCCAGAGTAGAACTCTGGCCATGGATAAGTTTAATAAGAGGCCTGAGTCTCAGTAGTTTACCCTGAAGCAATATTTGGCTGCAGGAAGAACCGGCAAGCTGAGATTACCTGAGCACCACCCCAAAACAGACCATCCAAAGGAAATGCCTGACATTCCAACTGCTGTAGATAGGACCACCTGCCAGCACACACCCATCAGGACACTGCTAGACAAATGTCAGCCAATCAGGGGTCCTAAGCCTTAGAAACACCTCACCCCCACCTTCACCACTATAAAAACCCAATTCTAACTGATCTTGGGACTCTCTGTTTATTCCAATACGTTGGACATGCAGAGAGACCAAGTTTGCAAACTTGCTTAAAATAAAGGCTCTTTGCTTTTACATACAGAACTCAGTCTCCTTGTTGTCTTTTGTGGGGATTTCGCGGCAAATGGAAGCAAAGACAGTTTGGTTCTGTCCTGCGTAGGTCAGTGACAATCTGAATGCGATGCCTGAGAAGATGGTGACCATCTCCACCTCCTCTCGTTCTCTTTGTCTTTCTTGATGTTCATGAGAGGGTCTCAAGAGTTCCACTAGGGCCCTGTGATAGAGCACTGAAGTTAGAGGACAGGCTTAGATGGGCCTGGATGCTAAAGTCTAATTCTAGGAAGGTATGGTGGGATCTGCTTTTCATCTCAGCAAGCCAAAAGCAGGCAGATCTCTGTGACTTCAAGGCCATCTTGGTCTACACAGAGAGTTACAGGCCAGTCCGGGCTAATAGTGAGATCCTGCCTCAAAACAAAACAAGCGGAAATCTTAATTAGATACAGATCTCTAAATGTTTGTTAGTACTTAGTCTCTGGTCTCTTTCATAACCATTCCTGAACCATACGTGGAGGAACACAGTGTTCCAGCTTGAATTTCAGTTGCTCTGATAAAACACTGATAAAAGGAAAAGTTCGGGGGGGAGGGGGGTTAGCAAGGGTTTATTTCAACATACAGTGTCAGTCCACATTAAACATAAGCCAGGAAGGGAGCTCAAGGTAGGAGGAGCCTGGCAGCAGAAACTGGAACAAGCCACGGAGGAAAGCTGTTTAATGGCTTCCTTCCAGGCTCAGCGTTAGTTACCTTTCTTCTGTCTCCTAGGATAACCTCGGCAGGACTAGGACTGGACCCTTCCACAGTAATCTGCAATCAAGAAAATACCCTACAGTCTTGTCCACAGGTCAGTCTGGCCAAGCTAGTTCCTCAGCTGAGGTACCCTCTATCTGAGGTTCCCTCTTCAAGGCTTATGTCAAGTTGCCAAAAAATTAACCAGCACGACTGCAAAGTATACTGCGGGGCCCAGGACAACCTGGCCACACGCATGGGACACAGGCCACACGGCTGTCACGGCCAGGCAGCACCAGGTTTGAGGAAAAACCTAAACTGACACCACCCAGGGAGGGCCAGCATCTAAAGGGAAGCACCTGACACCCAACCATTAGATAAGATGAGATAAGACCTACAGTTGTTGCTGAGCCCAGGACTCACCTAGTCCCCTTTTGCCAAGCCCCCTAGACAAATGTCAGCCAATCAGGGTCCTCAATCCTGGAAATCACCTCACCCCAACCTCTTTGGTAAATCCCTACCTAAACTGGGCTGGGCACTCTGTACTCTCAACAGATGGAACAGTTGAAGCTTATGTTTTAAAAAAAGGCTCTTTGCTTTTAGATATGAGTGCGGACTTTGTGGTGGTTTTGGGGAACCCCGCGATCTGGGCATAACATATACTTGCTGAAGAGCATATAAACAATAAAGGATTTGCAGTTTAAAAGAGAACCGGTTTACATTTCTGTAAATAGTAAGAGTCAGAAAGTTATAGACTCTGCCCATGATATAGCTTAATAGATGTGCAGAAATCATTGGTGAAAACACTGTAAAGAAATAGAAACCACAAGAACAGAAGTATTTTCTGACTCCAAGGTCAGGAGCCTTGATTAAACCCATTCCAGAGACCGATTCCAATATATTCTCATTATCTTACCATTTTACAAATGCTCATGCTTCAATAAAGTCAAACCATAGCAATGGCCTTGCCTGCCTTAAATTTAATCAAGTGCAGGCACGGGTTTGCTTATTGTGTACTTTGGCAGGTACACAAAGAAAAGCAGCAGGGAAAAAAAAGATACAGTGTTTTCCCCCCAGAAGGTATAGGCCCTTTTTCTATTACCCGACAGGTCTGAGTTTCTTTAGCTTGGAATAGTTATTTAAAAATCTAATGGAATTCAGAATCCTGCCAGAATGGTAAAATAGTCCAGACAACTAGGTTTGAACATTCCCTATGCCCCTCGAAAAACAAATTTGGAAAATAATAATGGAATAATCTTTGTGAGAAAGGAGGCTCTCCAGAGCTAACCAGCTGAAGAGGAGTGAAGGCTAGCGTGGGGCAATACACAAGGAGGGGGTCAGTGATGGGTGACAGAGAGGAGCCTTTTATATTCACTGGCTTCTTGAGGTCTCCACACCCTCACTGTGCCTGAGGGCTGCCTCCTTAATGCTGATATCTGCCGAGAAGGGCCTTATCCTACCTTCACAGAGTGAAATTAGGGAGTTTCAGGCTAGCCCTGCCTGGGGCCCCCCTTTTAATTACTATTCTCTCCCAGCCAAACCTGAAGATCGAGTGGAAGACAGTTCCTTCCCTCCTGGGGTTCAGTCTCCTATCCAGGGAAATGTAAATACAGTAGAACGGAAGTTGCCCTCTGTGGGAGAAACAAAGAAGAGTGATTAGGCTGTTTGGATGGCACCTGAGGCTCTTCCACGCCCCTCCTCCTAGGTGACTTCAGTGGTCTCTAACTTAGAAGAGGTTTTCTGCCTTCAGGGGAGGTGCATTTGTTAAAGCAAAGGCTTTTCCCTAGATAAAGCAGATAAAGACTTTATAAAGGAGCAGTTGTAAAGGGTTGTTTCTCAGACTCCAAATCTCTGAAAAGCAGAAAGGCTCATCATATCATTACTTTCTATTCTCACTCCCATTCTTCATTCATTCATTCATTCATTCCTTTGTTTGGCGTGTGTGCTTGTGTGTGTGTGTGTGTGTGTGTGTGTGTGTGTGTGTGTGTGTGTGTTTGGTGCTCTGAGGATGCCACCCACACAGTCATCATGACTTCACCATTTCTCTCCCTATCTACTGTGCAGTTTCCGGGAAACGACTCGCACACCTTAGATCCAGAACCAATGCACTGCGGCCCTGAAGACTGGTTTGTACAGCGCATTATAACTGCCGGGAAATACCAGATAACAGAATTAATGCAGTTATTGTGAGCTTCATAGACGGAGCTCTAAAAAAAAAAAAAAAAAAAAAAAAAAGGCAAGTATTTAATGGAGCATTTAGAAAAAAAATGGATAACTCTCCAGGGCCAAGCATCGTTTCTACAGGGATATCCTGCCCAAACCACAAGTTAAGAAACCAATGAGGACACTGCTGCTTATTAGCTTAAAAGAGTGTTTTGATTTTCAGATCTTTCACCACTTATTTACCCAGACAGAAAAATTCATCTATACAACACTGAGATTTGTTTGTTTGTATGTTTGGTTGGTTGAAAAAAAAAAGTAACTATAATTGACCCTCATGTTGATCCCATTAGACAAGAATAAGACTACTACCACAATTTTTGAGCCAAATTTGAAACAAACTTGATTTATTTATTGGGGTGCACTCAAGGACCAGTCAGCAACTATCTCCAAAGTCAGGTTAAAGAGAGCTACTGAAGTTCATTTCATAGGGCACCCTTAAGAAGTAAAATCTTGAGGAATTGCAAAGCAGATGTACAAAATCGAGACAAGAGAGCAGTAAGGAAACAGAGGAGAAAATTCTCAAACAAAACAAAACATAACACAAATCAGCCACCACCACATGATCACCATGTGATTTGGAGAAGGGGGACAGGGTGTTCTCAAAAACAAGTCAAGGCCATGAGTTAGGGCAGGTTAGGAGGTTCCAGGAAATGAGGACTAAAAGAGAAACTCAGCTCTTACAGTAAACAGAAACTTACATTTAACAATACAGCATTATGACTCCTTCCTTCAAAATGGAGTCAGGCAGGCTCCTGACATGGTGGCATATTCAGTGGGTTATGGAAGGGAAGGGGGAGAGAGAAGAGGTGGCTGCTGTCTCTTCTCTCCCCAACCCTGATTCTCTCTGTGTGTCCCTCTCCCCTTTCCCTCCGCTTCCCTCTTGCACTGAATAAACTGTATCCAAACTCTCTCTGCATGGCATGTCTACCCATCTCTCACCCGCCACAGCTCTGCCTCCCATGACCTTGGGTGACCCACAGTGACACCTGGGCTCCCTGCCTGGGACCAGCTGCCCCTAGTGGCCTGCCACTGGTCCTAGGTGTAACACCTGCAACCATCTTTGGAAGTCCCCTCCCCCTGGGAGTAGCCTTGGTCTGGACTCCACCTCCAGGAAAGCCCGGAAAGCAGTGTCCCCTCCCCAGGGAGGGTCAAAAAGAAAAAAAAAAAAAGCCCGCCAAGAAGTGGACCACGCCCACAGGCTATTTAGGCTGCCGCCCAGAAAAGAAACACGTGGTCTTCCGGTTTTGTGTGGTTCCCTCCTCCTTTCTTTTGCCATGAGCTCCTGGCCACCCTGGAGCACTGCAATAAACATGGGCATCTTTTATTCAGTCTAATTTGGTCTGATTGGAATTATTGAGTGGCTTTTGTTAGGAATGTTACTAGTATATGGAGGTCTCCACGGGGTGGGGGAGGGGGAGTCTGTTTTTCCCAGCCATGTGTTGGAAAATGCTCTTCTTGCACCCTTTGCCAGGCTAAGATTGGCTTTGACTTGGTGAGTTCCCCTTTTGGAGGACTTAGCCAGTAGGGTGTAGCCCCCCTCCCCGGAAGGGGGGAATTTCGCATCTTTACTTTGTTGATCCTGCTTTCTGTTGGAGTTACGGGGCTGTGTGGAAAGCCTGACCAACATGGCTAAGCCGGGCTTTGCTGAGATGAGTCTTGGGTGTTTGGAGATGTCTGCCATTCATTTCTCATGCACCCCCATTTTGACTCAAGAGTTATTCCAGTGGACGCACTATGACAGACTTGAGTCCGAATAGGCATGGGCTTCAAGATGGGTTCTTGAGATTCCAAGTAGATTACTCAAACGCCCTTGGGTGGTCTTTTACAAAAATCTTTTTAAATTGGGGCTATCTAACACCTAACATAAAATAAACAGGCTCCAAAAGCCCACGGTTTCTAGATGTGCATTCCCAATCCCCGCTTCTTGGCTCCCCTCGCTGCTTCTACATCCCAGCTCCACTCCCCACTGTCCTACACTCCTTCCCTGTTCCCCCTTCTTGCTTCTCTAGCCGTTTGCCTCACTCTGAGAGTCTCTAAAATGGATCTGTTACCCCCTGTCCTTCCACTCTCCTGGCTCCTGCCACCTAACTATGCCGGGATTTTAAGTTGGTCAGCCGACATAGGTTTCTAAAAGTGTTTTATTTGTCTATCTGTTAAATAATGTGGCCACAGTATGTCTGTGTAAGTATATGGATTTGTGTTTCTTTGTGTATGTGTGCTCGTTTTAAGATAACTCCAGACAAAAACAGCTCTAAAAAAAAAATACAAACACGTGGGTAACCTTCATTTTGACCTCTTTGCCATCTTGGGTAAGAGTTCCCACGTGTGCTACTATTCTCTGGCTTATTAAAATATTCCTTTTAATCTTCTTACGAGCTTTGGTAAACTGTAACTAACTGGATAAAATACATGTCTAAATTTAGTTTATATGCCCAGTTTAAAATAACAGGTAATGGTAGCCAATCCTCAAGTGCCTTTACAGATCTGAGAGTATGGCATTTAACAAAAGAGCTTCTAACACAGAGACATGCCAGCCCTTGTAGAAGAGCTCCTCTTGAAGATGTGTGGTTACAGAAGACCTTCCACCTCCAGGCTTGCCTTTGGGTTTGGCAAAGCCACCCAAACAGCAAAAAGCAGCCTTTGACCTCTTCAGCTTCCTGAATGCCACCTGGAAATCTATAGTCTCATCCTGCTGAATCAGGTAGACTAAATATTTCCCCCTTACAGGAAAATCTTTGTGCCTCTTGTACTTAGCAGCTAACGGTAAGCACTGCTTCTAGGCTGGTGCATTCCAAGAACTAAGGAGAGATTTTGGATTGCCTGTGTAGCTAAAGAAGCTGTTTCATTTCTGCTCATTTATCCCTCCTGGATCTGTTTAATAACATTTGATGACTTAAGGTATTGGTAACTCATGACTTCATTTGTTAAGTTTCTTGCCAAAATACAGACAGGTCTCTTTAACAGTCTTCCTAATCCAGGACTAACAAGTCTCAGGTGTATCTTAAAAATCCAGAGTTCCCAATTAACCTAAAGCAATAGCCTTTTGCTTTATTTAAACCATAACACCACCACCACCCAACTTATAGATATCCTTGATAAATACTGGGATGACATCAAGATGTAAATCTGTTCCACTTTTCTTACAGATACCTACAGGTTCTGGGAAAAAGTTTTGCTGTTATCACTGGTAAAGAATAACAGCCTCCAGAGCCTGTTTTATCCTGTTTTAACCCCACCCAGCTTCAAGCATATTTTACAGGTCACTCCTGCTGTCTGGGCCAAGACAAAGTGCTCTCCAGACAACGCCAGCACCTGCACAAGCTCCTGAGACTTTACCATTGGTACCAACTCTCCTGGATCAAGGACACCTACCAACTAAATCTGGTTGTATCTACTATTATGTTCCAATTATATACCCAAGCTTCACTTGTACAACCAGGGCACTTCTTTGTTCCATTCTTTCTGGCAGCTAATGACTTTCCAGAGCTAGCCCCATTCATAAGACCAATAATAACAATATTTTTTCTCCTAGCCACCTGCCTTCTCATCTCCCTCCAAAGGCAGCTGCCTGAGGACTCCAGGATGACAGTAAACTGGATGCTGCCCAATCACACTTCTCACTGAGTGTGAGCCCACCAATTTTCAGCTCTCCCTTCCCCCATGTCACCCTATGCCTGCAGGAAGTAGCCAGACTTGAGCTGATGCCCCTTTATCCAAACAGAGCCTAAAATGTTGATCGTATGCATCACCTCAACTCCTTGTCATCTCTTATACAAAGAGTCTGGAAGGTAATACCTGGCATCCATCTTTGGAAGCTCCTTCTCCTAGGGACTCACCTTAGTCCAGACTCCACCTCCAGGAAAGCCTGCCAAGAAGTGAACCCTTCCCAGCGAGGGTCAAAAAAAGCCTGCTAAGCTGTGGACTTCTCCACAGGTTATTTACGCTGCCACCCAGAAAAGGAACACATGGTCTCTGGGTTTTTCTTGGCCTTTTCCTGGTCTCTTCCCCTTACCATGCACCCGGGAGCACTGCATTAAATGTGGGCATCTTTTATTCCGTCTAATTTGGTCTGATTGGAATTATTTGCATCCGTGGAGAGGCTTGTCTTAAGAATATTCCTAACCCTAGGGAAACTGTCGCCTTGCTTTATTTAAACCATACCACCACCACCCAGCGGGCCTAATAACTTAGAGACATTGTTAATAAATGCTAGGTGCTGTGTGGATTGAGTCTCTTCTCTCTAAAATATGAAAATCTCTCTTTCAGAGTTCAAAACACAGATAAACTCTTTATCTTTGAATCTCTTTGGTCTATTTGGAGAGAGACTCCCTCTCCTTTCTCCTGCCAGTCCCTCAGAGGGTTACAAAGTACCAAGTCAATCCAGCAATTCACACTGGGTCATATGTGGTCACTAGTCTTGACGAGTTCAGTCTCTAAGACTGATTCTTATAACAACTCAGTATATGATTCTTCATGAATTATTAATGAAATCTTGTTTTTTAAAGCAATTACATTATGTAGGGCAAATCATTTAATCTTGCTAATTAGCCAAAAGACTGAAAATCAAATATTGAACCTACAGGTAAAGTCTAGTTGATTCATGATAAATTATTAGTGACTGATCACTGTTTAAAGTCCACACACATAAGAATCTGAAATGCTTCTTCTTGTAATCATTCCTACATTCCTTGAACTAAGTAGCTAAGTTTATTAGAAGAAAGAGAAAAAGAATTACATGAAAATTCCAATTCCTAAAGAAGTTAGGAGACTGGGTAATTCTGTGCTTCTACAGATTTAAATTTTGTTTTTCTACAATAACAGCACCAAATCTTAGCTTATTAGTGTATCTGTCTCCTTAATTAAACATTGATGAAGCCAATGTGCTAATCCATCTCATAGCCTCTGTAAGGAGGTAATTAGTCAATAGTGTGATCTATTGCTAGAATTCATGAAACTACAGGATCCTAAGTAAAGATCATTCAGCACATAGAAGTTAATACAAGATTTCCTGTGCATAAGGTCAGCTACCTTAAAAGAGTACCTTACCTAGTGAGTATAAACATTCATTTTATATTAGATAAAAGCCCAGTTTAGACCATATAGACCACAAGAAAAAGAAAAGTCTTCAAGTTGCTAAAGCAATCAGGAGGGACAGTAGCTAGAGGTGAGGCCTGTTTTTATGTTTTGTTCAAGTGAAATGTGTGAGCCATGGCACAGAGAAATTACTGAGCTAAACTCCTCTGTGGATAGAAAAGACAGTGTGATCAGATGCTTCTCTTCCACCTGCCTGTTCCCAAATACTCAGCAGCTTCTTTCCAAATAATTGACTCAGAGACCTAATATAACTTATAAATGCTCAACTGATGGCTAACACTTACATTTTAGTTTAACCCACATTCCTCATTTACACTATGCTATGTGGCGGAACATTTATGAGCATGGCACATTCATCTTCTGCTCCCTCTACATCTGCTAGAGACAACTGATTCAACCTTCCTCCTTCCCATCATCCTTAGTGTGGTCGGCTTGTCTATACTTCCTGCCTGTCTACTGGCCAGTCAGCACTTTATTAAACCAATTCAAGTGATGAATCTTTACGGTGTACAAAAAGATTATCCCACAGCATTTTCCCCTTTCTTGTCTAGTTGAAAAGGAAGATTTTAACTTTAAAATAGTAAGATTATATACAACAAAAGCAGTTATCAAGTCAGATTATAGTTACAGTATCTAGTTTATTTGTATTTAGAAATATCAGAGAAAATATTCTATCATCTATCTTTGTGAGTTCATCCAAAGTTTTTTTATCTAATTTATCTTTTATCATAACTAAAAAAAAAACCCTGTAACTATGACTACCTAATCTTGAACTCTGTCAAAGACCCCAGAAGAGTGAAATATTTCCTAATGACAGGGACCTCAAGTTGTCTGGACAGTCACCCAAAGTTCCTCTACAACATTAGGATATCCAACTCTGGCCTATAGGCCTAGCTTATCTGGCAGACTTTCCTGTGAAGCAGAAAATTTTTAAGGAATGTCCTAACTTGTTTTTTTGGGGGTGAGGGCAGGATATGGACAACTTTGGACATAATAAAATGAATCTGTTACATTGACCCAAGGTTTTGGAGGGGCCATAGGTATTTCCTTGAGAAAGATCTGTCCTTTGTAGGTTTAACCAAAGCTAATATTTTTTTTTCCTATTGGATGAAAATATGTCACATCATTCTCATATCACAGACATGTGTACACACATGGGGGACAAAGAAAAAGTAGCACATATTTCATTTCTCACGGAACTACAAACCGGCCACCTTGAAGTCAGATAGCAGTGGCTTTGTCTTTTGTTAGACAGCACTTATAGCAATAACACCATATTTTTCTTTTAAAAAAGAACAATAAATATATCTATAGTGCGGGTTCCAGACATGGAAAGCACAGAAGCATTTAGTTGCAAAGTATAGGAGAAGGCGTTGGGCACAGTGGCCCATACCTATAATCTTAGCAGGTAAGTGAAAGGAAGATCTAACTTTCAAGGCCAACCTGGCCTATAATAATTAGTTCAAGGTCAGACTGAGCTACAGGAGGCCCTGTTTCACAAAGGGTGCTCAGAAGTGAAATGAAACTGAAGCAAAAGGGTCTAAAGTAGTTTTGATTTTGTTGTGTCTGTTCGATGGATAAATACCTAAGAAGCAGCACATTTTAGAGGTGTAAGTAGTTTTGTTGTGTCCCCCCTTTATACCTAGAATAAGTAGTCACCCTCCTCCCCCGCACCCAGGAACATAGACTTCTCATTACTGTAGGGAATGTGAAAGTTTATATCATTATTCAAATGTAAAACCCTTGCCATTATCCAGGCTTTATTCTTTGAGAAAATTGAGTCTCCTGTGGGAGAAGAGAGAGAGGGTGTTGAGGACATTTAAAACCAGCTCTTTGCAAATTTCTACTAAACAAAGTATTATGATCTCCCTTCTTGGGTTCTATGATGAGACAGGATTAGGGCGTCTAGGGATAGCTCATTTCAAGTAGTGCATTAAAATGCCTTACACTTTGCAAACTGTGTAGAAATCTAAGGCGATGTGAAAGCCCAGTGAGGATCCTGTAAGCAGCCCAGAGGAAGCAGATGGGAGGAAGCAGATACATGGAGGCTGTAGACTTTGTCTCATTGGTTTCTCACCCCTCTGCTCCTGGAGTAGATACTTTAGTGACTTGCAGTTGGGTTTGGGATACTGGGTTTCTGCATAGATGACTTTGTGCAGGAAATAAGTAGGCAAGAGAAGCTCAAGCAAGACCTTAGATTCTGAGCAGTAGCCATACAGCATTAAGACCGGGCATCACAATGGAAAACTACGGGCCAGCGAAACAGGTTGGGGTATAAAGGTGCTCACTTGAGTTCAGTTCCCAGGACCTACATGGCAGAAGGACAGCGCAGACTCTGGCATGTTGTCTACTTCTATCCACATGTACTCCATGGCACAAGCACACATGTGCGCATAGGCATACAAGTGTGTGCACATGCACACACATACACACACAAGCACACATGTGTGTGTGCGTGCGCACACACACAAAATGTATAAATCATTGTAACAATTTTGTAAGGAAAATTAGGAAAAATTGCCATTCATTGCAGAAGGAGGCCCATTCTTTTCTTGTGTTGTATGAACGTGCACGTGTGTGTGTGTGTGTGTTTGTGTGTGAAAGAAAAATAAAAAGAAACCATAAAATCTTGTTCTCACAAGTAAAAACTTCAGGATTGTACCCTTATAGTTCCAGAAATAAGTAATTATTTTTCTTTTATACTTTATTAATTTTTAGCAGTTAGATCACTTGTTTAGATTATACTAGAAATTAATGAATAGAAGTTGTTCTGTAGTTATTCTGATAAATTACTATCAAAGGAACATTCAGAGCCTCAAAAAATAAATAAAATAATTTAAGTTAACTCAAGACATACTTTCTTATAAAATTTGATGGAATGCACTTTGAATGTAAACTTAAAATTATTTTTAATGTAGCCTTGAATGACGAGCTTTAGGCTGCAATATTTTCTCTGACCACCAGGTAGCAGACAAACGCCTTGAAAGAGAGGCTTGTCAATCACAACTAAATGACAGAAAAAATAAATATTGAGTATGGGTATTCTAATGTCTGTTTCATTTAGAAATAAACATTTATTTGACAAAATTCAACATCCTTTCATGATAAAATTCCTGGAGAGATTATGAATACAAGAGACATACATCAATATAATAAAGGCAGTTTACAGCAAGCCTACAACCAACATCAACAGAAGTAGAGAGAAACCCTAAGCATTTGCACTAAAATCAGGAACAAAACAAAGCTATACACTCTTTCCATACCTACTCCATATTGAAATCTTAGCTAGAGCAATAAGTCAATTGAAGGAGATCAAGAGGATACAAATAGCAAGGAAAGAAATCAAAGTGTCTGGCAGATGATATGATAGTATACATAAGTGACCCTAAAATTTTTATTGAGAAACCCCTACAGCTGATAAACACTACTACAAAAATAGCTGTGAACAAAATTAACTTGCATAAAATCTGTAGCCTTCCTACAGACAAATGAAAAAGGACTGCAAATGAAATTAGGGAAGCAATACCTCTCACATTAGCCCCAAATAATATAAAATATCTTGCAGTCACTCTAATCAAGTAAGTGAAAGACTTGTGTGATAGAAACTTAAAGACACTGAAGAAAGGAATTAAAGAAAATAGCAGAAGATGGAAAGATGTCCCATGCTCATGGATCAGTAGGGTCAACTTAGTGAAAAAGACCATCCAACCTAAAGCTATCTACAGATTCAATGCAATACCTATCAACATCCCAATACAGTTCTTCACATATCTTGAAAGGACAATTTTCAACTTCATATGGAAATACAAAAATACTCAAGATAACTAAAACAGTACTGCATAAAGTATCATCATCCCTGATCTCAAATTGTACTACAGAGCTACAGTATCAAAATCAGCATGGTACTGGCACAAAAACAGACACGTCAATCAATGGAACTGAACTGAAGACCCAAAAATAGGTCCA